TATATATATATATATATATATATATATAATTTGTTTTGTTGTAGTAGATAATAAAGTGCTCAACACTAATACAAAAGTAGAGCAAGATATATTTATATCTTAAAATTAATTATTGCTACTCAAGTTTCACGCCTTATTCAAGACGATCTATAATATAAGCTATAGTTATTAGCTGGGCCAAAGCCATTACACCAATCTCTGATGATCATGTAGCTGTCATCAAACACGCACGCAAGTTCTTACTTTTTCACCAAGATAAAACATGGGTTAAAAGAAATAACGAAACAATGTTCGATGTTACAATGGGCAGCTACCATGGGGCAGAAATTTGCGAACTAGTCGGATTATTCATCCTAAGTAAACTTGAGGCGAAGTTCGGAAAAAATCAAGTTGGTCTGTACAGAGATGATGGGTTGGCAATTTTGAAAGCTAAACGAGCCAGATCAGCCGATAAAGCGAGAAAAGAACTACACGCTATCTTTAATAACATTGGTTTCAAGATAACAGCAGAGGTGAACTATCATGTTGTCAACTTCCTAGATCTCACATTGGACTTGAAAAACGAAACATTTTCACCTTTTAGGAAACCAAACAATGACCCACTCTACGTCGACAATAGATCTAACCACCCACCTTCTATCATTAACCATATCCCTTCCTCAATCAACAAACGCATCTCCTCACTTTCTTCCGATCAAGCATCCTTTCATTCTGCTGCACCATTTTACGAAGATGCGCTTAAGCGCAGCAACTACGATGTACCTCTGCAATACTCGGCCTGTGATAATTCCTCCAGTTTGCCATCTACCAACCGAAGACGTCATAGAAACATCATTTGGTTTAATCCTCCCTTCAGTAAAACTGTTCGCACTAACGTTGGTCGAAATTTCCTACAATTGATTGATAAACATTTCCCTTCTACTAACCCGCTTCATAAGGTCTTAAACCGCAACACAGTCAAAGTTAGCTACTCCTGCATGGAGAATGTCAAAACCATTATATCCCGACATAACCATCGCCTGTTAAAGAAAAACCCTACCCGAAAACCTGTCCAATGCAACTGTAACAAACCAGATGAATGCCCACTAGACGGGAAGTGCAAAGTAGACAACATCGTCTATAAAGCCACAGTGACAACAACTGATAACGGAAATACAAAAGAATATATTGGAATGACGGCCAACCCATTCAAGGAAAGATACGCGAACCACAAAACGTCATTCAACCTCTACAACCACTCGTCTGATACAAAGCTTTCCAAGTATATTTGGAGTCTGAAGCAAAGTAGAAGAAATTATAGCATCAAGTGGTCGATCTTGAAAAGAGCTGCTGCGTATACGCCTGGTGGAAAGCGATGTGGCCTCTGTTTGGAAGAGAAGTTATGCATCCTGAAAGCGAAAGGGAACAATTCACTGAACACGCGATCAGAGTTTTATGCGAAGTGCTGTCATAAGGAAAAATTTAGCGCGTGCAAATTCAAACCGATGACGCAAGACAAACCTACGCGTCAGCGACCGACCGTTGATGCTGACAAATCAAACACAAACTGAATTAATTGCCTGAAGATCGTCTTGAATAAGGCGTGAAACTTGAGTAGCAATAATTAATTTTAAGATATAAATATATCTTGCTCTACTTTTGTATTAGTGTTGAGCACTTTATTATCTACTACAACAAAACAAATTATATATATATATATATATATATATATATATATATATATATATATATATATATATATATATATATATATATATATATATATATATATATATATATATATATATATATATATATATATATATATATATATATATATATATATATTACTTTCTTCCTGCTCATCAGCACCACACTGATAAGGCCCATAAAAATAAGGCCGAAACGGTACCGTCTGTAGTTAGATATTGCTCTATGGCCTTTGTGTCATATTGAGCACTCTACAGGATGAGCCATTGCTGCTTACGCATTGTGCGCATGCTCACTGCTTGCAGTTTGAGCACTCTGGCAATGGTTTGATGTCCCACATTCGTGAGGCATCAAAGGTAACTATTTATAGTGGTTACTTTCATCCTGCTCATCAGCACTACACTGATGAGGCCCAAAAGGCCGAAACGGTACCGTCTGTAGTTAGATATTGCTCTATGGCCTTTGTGTCATATTGAGCACTCTACAGGATGAGCCATTGTTGCTTACGCATTGTGCGCATGCTCACTGCTTGCAGTTTGAGCACTCTGGCAATGGTTTGATGTCCCACATTCGTGAGACATCAAAGGTAACTATTTATAGTGGTTACTTTCATCCTGCTCATCAGCACTACACTGATGAGGCCCAAAAGGCCGAAACGGTACCGTCTGTAGTTAGATATTGCTCTATGGCCTTTGTGTCATATTGAGCACTCTAACAGGATGAGCCATTGCTGCTTACGCATTGTGCGCATGCTCACTGCTTGCAGTTTGAGCACTCTGGCAATGGTTTGATGTCCCACATTCGTGAGACA